CAACCTGCTGACCGATGTGGACAGATCGACAACAAAAACCTTGATTGCAAATAGAATGTTGACGCCTGACTATACTTCAAAGTTATGCAGATAACAACTTACTTGCCTCTTATACTTCGAAGTGTAAAGTAGTCCAACTGAGGCATGTCTCAGACTACGAACTTAGGTAACTCTCCTCTGGAGGAATCTGAAGTTGAAAAGAGTCCAGTGATCTGATGTCTTATGCTAACTGAGACATATAAATCTTCTGAGCAAACCTTGCAGTAATAACGTGGAAGTGAATTATTGACGATTTTGACGGTAGAACTTTCCACCTAATCTTCAACAGAGTTGTCCGACCTTATTTAGAATATGGAAATATAGTTTTTCCTTCTTCTCTCCGAAAGGATAGGGATGCATTGGAACACATCCAACATTTAGACATTGCCGGATAACTTTTATCGCACTGAAACAACAAAAACTAATCTCAGAAAAACAAACTAGTTTATATAAGCCCATAAAAGAGTTAATGAATATTTAATTGAACTTTAACTAACTAGTATTGACTACTAAAAGGCGCATTTTCCAAACGCTTCCTTAGTTACTGCGATTCTGAGTATTCTTAACATAAGATCAGTATGTTATATTTTTAATCAAATTTCCTTATTTTAAATATGATAACGAATTGTAGTATTCTGAAAATCGGTTTTATAAACTAGGGATTGCCATGTACTTTACCATCCTATATTGTTTTTATAAATGAATGATCGTTCACTTCGAAAATCACTGTTTGGTTTAATATATGACTTTAAATCATAAGCCTTCCATGGTTAAAATTAAACACAGATAGTTTTTACTTCTTTAATTACTGAACCGTCAATTTGAACATCATAATATCACTTTAGTAGCTTTGTCTACAAATATTTTCTGTATGTAGTTGTGTATTAGTCCTGTTCACAATATTACAAATGAAGCTGTGTCAACCAATCACTTAGAATCATAGTTAGTTCTACTATGATACTTTGTAATGGGGTAAAATATCCGTCACAAATACCAGAGGAATCGATAAACTAACTTACCATCGATATGTATTTGCCCAGCCTGCTTGTTTTAATATAAGGAACACAAGAAAGCGTTGCTTTCTAAAATTACCATTTTTGCAGTCTCGATGTTCCGCAGTCGTTTTTTTATCGACAGTTATCATGTTATGTCATTGTTGTTAACTTGAAAGAAGCTTCCGACCCTTAACGAAAATCTCTTACACTTAGCTCAGATCTTCAGATTTCAGTTTTCCATCTGTTTTCATTAACTAAATGTGTTATTGCGTGTGTTCACTGTTAATTGGTATACTGTAGTAATATTTCTTTGTAAGATATAGTGATACATTTCTGCGTCAAGCCCCATATTTGATCTTCTGGTGAAGATTGATGTAGACAAAAACGTTCTGAGACAAAACATTGTGTTTTTACGTTCCCCTTCGTTTTATTTTTTTCTGAGAACTCTAGAAGAAAGTATATCCCCACATTTTGTCCAGTCAGGGAGTGTCAGTCGTCCACATACTTTCAACAGCCATCACTTAAATTATGCTCTTGACCACATTTTTTCCATTACCCTAATTCCATAATAATGTTTTATACTGTTTTTCTAGCCTTTGTAAATCTAGCCAACACAAAATACCTTGTAAAATTCCATTCTCGGTTCTTTGCAATATTGCTTCATATCACTTGCTAGAACTTCTGGCTTTCGGACCATTTACCAAACCAGAAAGTGAGCTTCAATATCCAAAGCTAAAATAGTATGTCGAAAACATAAACTGTGTTGATGCAGCCCATGAGGTCTAAAACTGGCCATTTATATGGCATTATATATTTAGTGTCAAAAACTAGTGCCATTCACTGTTTGTATTTCAGGAGTTTCGTTAGTGACTTCTCTTAGCTAAAGGTTCCTTTGGACAAGATACTGTTAAACAGTTTCTTTCGGACCCTACCATTGTGTTGGACAGTAAGAATGAAGAAAGAGGAGCGCTCGTTTTTATCTGCTCGTACTTTTTACTTATGTGTCCACTAACTTTCGGTTGGATAAAATGAATGATACGTTCTGTTATAAACTTTCGGATTCCTAAAAGGTTTGAGGATAAATGTTACAACTTCGACCTCTGAATAGGCCCAGGCTAATAAACCGATACTTATAAAGAGCTTTTTGCATCCTACCTCAGGCAGGAAATAACGGTCATCATCTGCTAAAATTATGCGTTGCTGAAGGTTTACTTTCAGCCAATACCATCTTTCGAGATTGTTACAGAAATTGCCTGGCATGGGAGTTTTCGGAATTGATTTGACCGTGAACTCAAATGGACCATAACAGCCGTTTTTAGGAAGGGCCGACAGAATGGTGCTGGTCCTGTAAACTACAACGTCGGCATGCAATGTTGGATAAAGTAGAAGTGTGTCGTAAGAAAATTATGGGGGGCTAAACTAAGTCATTTCATTGATTTGTGAAGTCATTGACTGTCCGATTGATCGGTGTTGGTGGATAGAGTTTGCCTGGTTATAGTGTGCGCCACAACCACGAACAGTAGATGGGGAAGTTAACTGAAACTACTCAGAATCGTCAATAACAATACAGATCCATCTGGCCTGGTACGACCGAGAGGGAGGGGAGCTCACTCTTCCTCTCGAAATGCTCTCACATGGCCGCAGCCGTACAGCCACTACCAGGGAAGTCCTACTCAATGTCTTCTCGCGACAGGGGTGTTGTTTACGAAAATGAGAGGACGAAAAACGAATGTCCGGCGCTTTAGCCGGGTTGATGGATACGGAGAGTACACCCAGGAGAGTTAGAAATACCTGATTTCAAACCAATGGTGCACATGAACTTCAGGCTCCTGAAGGAATAAATGGCATATGAACCACTTGTTGATGGAACTGCATCTTCTAACGTTGCTCCACCGCCTTATGGACTAGACCTTTAGGTTAATGTCTCGGGATGTGGTCCCCTAAGAAAACCACCTGCATAGGTCTGGGAACGCGGGTAGTATTCTAGCCCTCACACATCGAACGATGGTGTGGCGCATATGTATTCGATACCTCCTTGTACCAATAATTATGTGTGTACATGAACAAAGTAAATCTTCTTCTAGATTTTAAGTCACAGTAATCTTGCATGTTATTTTATTTCGGTGCATAAACCCTGATATAATAGGAAATCAAAAACTTACCACACAACTGAAACGATATTTTAGAGAAGTTAATGAGAGAAAGATTATGCAGCTGATAAATAACTGAAAAAAAATCGTATATTTATCAAGATGTACAGTTAAGCTAGAAACATAGCTAAGAAAGAGTCATTTTACTTAAGGTATTTCATCTCGCTTCTATTAATGTTGTAAAAAATGACAGAGTCTACATCAGTGTAGTGCAGTGCTTCACTAATCTTTCACCTCTATAACCGTTATAACACAATTCTCAGCGGTGCATGAAATCAGAAGGCAAAGAGAAGCTGCAACTACAGTTTGTTATCAAATGACGCAGGCCACAAGGCTACAAGCACATCAGTAAGTATCAGATAGCAAGCACGAGTAATTACATGGGCAAATTTATAGTTAAATTGTATAAAAGCGCAGCAAGACAAAGCAAAAGCCAATAATAGGATTTGAGTGCATACATATATGGGGAGGAGGATGAATCATCGAATGATATTTAAGTAATCAATGTTTTGTCTAGAGTCTGTCATGTGCTCTAGTAATTATAACAGTACAAAGATATATGAGAATTGTTACTATCCAAATTACAGTGTCTGTTAAGTAAGTTAATAAAAGGGCTTAACCAAAATTAACCATAATGCAAATTGGGTGTAGGATGGTTTCTATATCAGCTTCAGTTTTGAGCCATTTTTGATAGCGTTCCAAGCTGCTGAGTCCAAAGATCTCTAGAACCCCGACCAGGGAGTCATGATGAGCCGACAGATGACAGTTATATGTCGCTTTCTTTCACTCCACGACAATATGTCATAAACTGACTAACTCTTCTTTTTCCACTTAGTTCTGGCATCAGCAAACAATGTACTGAGTAAAGGTCGCTGAGATAACATTCGTTAAACAAGTCCGAGTCACCTTTGTACACAACCTTACATTCCGTCTTTGAATCACAGAATTAGGAATTCCGTTGGTTCTTTTATTTTTTTTAGTGTCAATAGACGATCGAGAACTCATTGTGATAGGCAGAGGCAACTTAAAAATAAAGTAGGAAGATCTCCACACAGTGATCGTAAGAAAACAAAACAGATAAGACATTGATGATAAGTAGCACTAAATACCTGTTTAGATTCACCCAGAAGACTGGTTATTAAATTAGGCGTTATTTCAACATTTTGAAATAAATTGCAGCTACTGTGTGGTCAAACATTCCTGTGAGAACTTAAGGAAATATACACCGGCCTTTAACTCAGAAAAATTATGTTTGTAACTGATATAAAACGATAGGGAGTAGCTAAGCTAAAACGATCAAACGTAAGAGGTTTTCTAGATGCTATCTCAAAATCATCAGCTGAATCGACTGAGTTTTTACTTGATTGGCTAAATTCTGAGGGCTAAGATCGGTTTAACACGTTTGATTTTATCGTCAGCCGTTCCAATTTGTAAGATGAGACAAAAATCCCCTCGTGATGAATTTAAAATATCCGACTCAATGAATACAGTAATGAAGGTCTTAGCTTCCATAATCGTCCAATTTTTGACTGAAACTCGGAAACAACTAACTTGTGGAAGCCAAGCAGATTTTCAGAAAAGGTGGTGAATGCATCCATTAAGTATCTGTTATGCTTGTGGCGGAGTGGATGGCTAGTTGATATGTGGCTCGATAGAACCGCCAATTAGGGAGAGCGAATTCTCGATTGGAACAGTGACACGAAACCCGTACGAGCAGCCTAGAGTGATAACCGGTCCTGCGATCTGCTTAGCCCAGCCAGTTGAGTCCAGAACACAAATAACAGCCTCAGTGGTATGAATCATTATTTACAAACATAATGGGTTTTTATACAAACCAAAGTAATCAATAACTGAGTATAACTCAAGAATCGTATGATAATAAATCAAAGATCAAAATAAAGCTCATGATAAGAGAAACACAAATATGAATCGTTTAGTTACGTAACAATTGTACAATAGGAAATATGCATAATACATTGGTCGATAAATAGTCCTTAGAGTTACCATTCATAATTCACCAGGGGATATAACAGTATCCATCGTTCGATTAGTCCTAAATATACGTATCAGTGTCCATAACTGTATTACATAACTTAAAATAGGGTAATGCCCTGACCATAATCGTTTGCTAGTCATTGGAAAATATATTACAATATCCGTCTACCGATGGAACACCGCTTACTATTCGAGTTCTAACTCATAGCTAAGCTTTATTTCCCGATTTCACTCCTTTTTAGTGGAATGAATTCCCTATATTCATTTTTTCACTGCAGTTTATAATATTACTCTCAATACTTTGTCGTTCATCTTTTAAATTTTCTCCGTTACTTTGCTGATATTACGTTCATTAATTTAAGTGAATACATATTTGTGCTACTTCCTATTTTGTTTATGACCAACTGACACCCTCTATTGATAAATTCAGTTTAAAACCGCATAAGGAACTGGTGACTTATATTCATTTTTAGTTGCGGTTTGTTCTTATTTCTACCTCACTAACTTCAAATTTAGGAAAATTGGGTGCCCGATCTTCAAACACGTAAACACTTAATCGTTGACTGAAATTAATCGATTAGCCTTAGTTTCACCTGAAGCGCTTGGCTTTTCTCGCAAGTTTGTAATAGGTATGTATAGAAAACTTTTGTAAATGTTCATAGTTAATTCCTTTATTCCCGTAAGTAGTTGACTATTTATATTTTCTAGCCTATTTTTACAGAGGAATTTTGTCTTCCCGATATTTCTTGACAATAAACCGCACTAAATAGTTAGATATTAGCTGTTCGTTACGAATGGAAATTTACTATAATTCATTCCACACCACCTTAGATTTTATTTTTGTACGAAGTAGCTATCTGACCAAAGCAACCTGGAAGTTATTTTGACTGTAGTTGTAGATAACAGTTTGTCTCTATCATTTCCATTCTTGTTATCCTATTAACATTTCTATAGACTTTACCATCTTAAGATATTCTTCTAGTATCAGGATAATGTAAGGATAATAAACAACAGTTAATTAAATAACATAATCATAGGTTACAAATTAGCTTTTTTTAAATCCAAGTGGTTATTGATGATTCAAGTCAATGTTGATATGAAAAAGTCAAAAATTGACCAAAGATCCCTGTATTATATATAAAGTCTCATTTGTTATAATAGGGGACACCTCGAATAAAAACAGGGTAAAGATTAGAACTTGGTTACTTTTACAAAATATATTGTCATTGTGTGGGAAACCTCTCAGTATATGATGTGTTTAGTTTATTTTTAATATGAATGAAAAATTGATTTACTGATTGGTAATATTGATTGGCACCTAATACTCATTTCAATTTTCTTTCGTTTCACAGCCTTTATTTTGGTTATTATCGTAAAAAATTAAAAAAGTCATTGCAATGAGCATAGAGACTGCTCCGTATACTGTTTCAAAAACTTGGACTCAAGAAGTTAGTTTCTCATGATCATATTCAGATTTTTAGAAAGTTGAACTGCGTGAGTATAACTCTTTACGATGGGTTTGTGCCATGAGTCATGAAAGTTCTATGGATAAGGCAAGTAAGGAGTGCTTTTGGAAGTTGTTCAGGTATATTGGTGGGAAAAATGCACAAAGTCTGTGATTTCTTTCTGATTAATGTTCCTGACAGAGGTTAAAGTACCGATGACTGCTCCAGTTACTATTGAAAGCAAACCAGATAATCAGTCTGTCATGAAAAGATGTTTTACGATGGGTTTCTACATTCCTGAAGCGTTTCAATCAAATCCACCTACTCCAACTGAAGAGGGTGTATTTATAGAAACTAGACCAGCTATGAAAGTTTACTGTTGGTGAGATATTTATACATATTCTGTATAATGGAACCTGCTATTAACGTTATATTTACAATTCGCGTCGAACCATTCAACCGATTATCGTTTTTTTAGAAAAAAGTACTCAAATTTGATCACTACTGAAGCCCGGCCACATTCTCGTTATTATTCTTTAAGGAGTCTCATTTATCTTTAATACTTCACTAGATGCTCGGTATCATTTTGTAAGTGACAGTATTTGAGTGCCAAAAGCCACAAAATGCCTCACAATGCTGTGCAGTTATTACGTTTTTATCGTGGGAAGGATTTCTGTTCTATTAGATTTAAAAAGAGATAATCCTAGTGAGTGAATTCTAGGCCTTTATTCTTTAGCAAAGTCTCATACGACCAACATCGGGCAAACATTTTTGATGAATCGTAAATACGGTTTTAGTCACTATAATTGGCTGCACGTATCTAAATCACACTTTCCAAGACTGAAATCATGACAAACATTTTTATGTTTGTTATGTTTTCAAAATGCGAAAAACCTTTTTTATGTTTATCCCTGTTCCTTGAGCAGTTCACTCAACTCAATGTGACACAAGTTTGAACAACAAGGAGATAAATACAAACTTGATACCTATTGAGTCAGAATAACGAGTTAGAGTAGCAAAAACAAGAGTTCATATAGAATGGACATTCGTAACTTTTCGATTTTCCTGTCCCTTCCGTTAACGTTTATTGGTTGTAAAATAAATTAGTTAACATATTTAAAATTAAGATTAAACTGAGCATTTAATCGTTAGAGTTCTATTCTATTCATAAACTTTACCGCCAACTTAATTCAAATAAACAGTCATACCTTATGTCGACTTTCTCGTTCATTTCTATAAAGCTTAATGAATGTTTGGTATCAAAATTGAAGAGTCTGATTAGTATTGTAGTGAACAAAACACTAGTTGGGGACAATCGAATGTATTTAAGCACAAAATTACAGACTATCTCACTAAATTCTGATAATCACACAGTTAACAGTTAATTTGCAAAATAACAACCGATTGTCTCAATCTTCACTGTTTCTTCTGTAAATATCAGTTCATCTTCTCTAATTTCATTGTTCATGCATTTTCGTACCAATTGCGCTTCATCCCTTTTCGTTTTTATCGATCTTCTGCCAAAATAGATTCTATGCCTGACCATCACCATATACTACTTATATTTATTTTATTTCATTTAAACACATAAATATTGGTACAGGAAGCACCAGATACATATGCGCCGCACAATTCTCATTCGATTCGCTTGAGGGTTGTGATACTGCCCAGGTGCCCGAACTGAAGCAGGTGATTTTCTTAGGGGCCCACACCCGGAGCCTTTGACCTAAAGATCTGATCCACAAGGCAGTGGAGCATCGTGAGAAGATGCAGTCCCATGGTAGCCAGTGACCAACGATTGCCAATTGTTCCCTCAGGATATTGGAGCTAGGCCATGTGCACCATTGGTTTGGAATCAGGGTTTTCCAACTCCCCTAGGTGGACTCGCCGTGTCCACCAACCCGGTTAAAGCGCCGGATATTCGCTTTTCGTCATCTCAATTTCGTAAACTACAGTAGTGCCACGAGAAGGCAGTGAGTAGGACTTCCCTGGCAGAGGCTATATATTCGCTGGCCATGTGAGAGCATTTGGAGAGGGAGAGCTGACTCTCCCCACTCTCGGCCGTACCAGGGCATTTGGGGGCATACTACTTATATGGATATAAGTAGACCTCACCACAGTATTAGCTAATATTTTTCCTTTTCTATGTTTTATTCTGTTCGTCGTTATTAAAATGTTTTGTATAATGGTCAACCCACTAAGTATTTTTACTTTTAAACTACAGTGAATATGATTCAACAAATTGTTCTTAGCTTCAATCTCTAGTATCTCTTGACTTTGTAAAATGTTAAGCATGGTATCCTTCATTCCTTAAAATAGCTAAATTACTTTCATGTATACAAAGACGTTGAACAGAACAAAATAACGTATGTGGTTCATTTTAATTTACTTTGCAATGGTATGAATTTTTCCGCTGTTGATACATTTTTAACTGAAATTTGATCAGTCTTATTTGACATATTTACACGCTATGCGGATTGCCTTGATATAGCCATTATGACACAAGTTTTGCATAGAATATAAACAATAGTATAAGCCAAACCACTACAAATTAAATTAAAATTCATATCCATTTTACAACTGAATGACTGTCTGGACTCAATGTCTAAACGGATAACTTATTGGCGTTTAAAACGAAAAGTACTGGGTACAAACGCTGGAGTAGGCATCGACTCCAAGATGTAGGTACATAAAGCTGACGAGTCTCAAATGAGACGAAACACACCTACTGTATTCCATCACCAACTACATTCCATCTGTTCTATAAAATATTTAATTAATTTACTTTATTTCATTTTTTTTATAATTAAATTTCATATAAAGGACTTATTCAGGTTTTTCAAATAATAACAAAGCATTAAATAATGCACGTAAACTTGGTGAAAGTCTTGATCAACTTGGTTTAAAATATACACCAGATCCTTTTTATTTTGCTGGTTATGATTCACCATTCAAGCTAATCAATCGTCGAAATGAAATATGGTTTAAAGCTCATTAAATTAATTTCTATCTATGTTTATATATGTTTCCATTTGTAAATCTTTTATTCAGAGTAAAACAATTTCATTTTCCTTTCTTCTCTTTTTTCTCTTTGGTATTTCACTGAAATACCTAAAAGAATTAGTTGGCATTTTATTGTTTACCTATTTCTGTCTATTAATTTCTGATTAGCATTTTTTAGAGAGTTATCTTTTCTTCGGGATAGGGTCGCTAACCCCATACCCAACCCTCCTCCTTTACCTGGGTTTGGGACCGGCAGTAGCCCCCGGAAGAGCTACAGGCGGAGTTATTTTTGTCTATTACCACAATAGAAATACTGACTGTTTACTTTGCAGAGTGAGGGAGAGAGAGAAGGAAAGAAGGAAAAGTACTTATCACCTGACTTATTTTCTTTTTTGGTTTGTATAAAACTTTGTTGTTTTTTGTTTATTCTTTATCATCATTACAGAGTACATTATAACATCACATTTCTTTATGTTTTTTATGGGATAATTAATTTTATTACACCTGACTTTTTTATCATTTGTATTATAATTGATTTTTGTACTGTAATGATATGACTACACGTGTTGTTCTTCTATCCTCTAATACTATCCATATCATTTTTCTATATCAGTTTACTTATTTCATTGTTCGGCTGATGATGATAATAATAACAATAATGTACTACTAATAATAGTAGTAATACTTTACTCAGGTAATCTTATATACTTTACATTTTATAGAGTGTTCTCATAGCAACTATCACAAGATATGCTTTGTCTTTCTTTAAAAAAAAACGTTTTTTTTCAATTCTTTGGTCTCATGTCATAGTGTTACTGATGTAATTTCTGGACAATTCAAAGTGTTGTGTTTAAGAATGAAATATACATTGTTTCTATAATATAATCAGTCTTATAGTTGTTACTTGTGTACAAATAAGATGTAGATAAAAAAGAAGTAAGCGAACATGTTTTTTTTATCCCCTTTGTTGTTGTTAACATCATATTTAGTTGGTATGATGATATGTGATACTTACTTACTTACGCCTGTTACCCCCAAAGGAGTATAGGCCGCCGAACAACATTCTTCAACCCTCTCTGTCCTCTGCCTTATTTTCTAGTTCTATCCAACTTTTGTTCATTCTTCTCATGTCTGTCTCCATTTCTCGGCGTAATGTGTTCTTTGGTCTTCCTCTTCTCATTTGGCCTTCAGGATTCCATGTGAGGGCTTGTCTTGTGACACAGTTGGGTGACTTCCTCAATGTGTGTCCTATCCACTTCCAGTGCTTCTTCATCATTTCTTCCGCTGGAATCTGGTTTGTTGTCTCCCACAATAACTTATTGCTGATAGTGTCTGGACAACGGATCCGAATGATTTTGCGTAAAAAAATGTTCATAAACACTTGTATCTTCTGGATGATGGCTTTCGTAGTTCTTTAGGTTTCCGCCCCATACAGTAGAACTGTCTTGACATTTGTATTGAAAATTGTGATCTTGGTGTTGGTTGACAATTGTTTTGAGTTCCAGATGTTCTTGAGTTGTAAATATGCTGCTCTTGCTTTGCCGATCCTCGCCCTCACATCTGCATCAGATCCACCGTGTTCATCAATGATGCTGCCCAGATATGTAAAGGTTTCCACATCCTCCAAAGCTTTTACGTCAAGTGTAATTCGATTGGTGCATGTTGTATTGCATTGGAGAGTCTTGCTTTTCCCTTTGTTTATATTGAGACCTACCGCTGCTGCTATATTGGTCGTCTTCTCCTGCATTTGTTGTTGCGTGTGTGATAGAAGAGCCAGATCATCCGCGAAGTCTAAATCGTCCAGCTGCATGATGACATGTGATACGTTTTGTGTAATTAAAATAGTTTAATGAAGGAAGGGATTTCGCTGATAAAAAGTATGGCCGATTTTGATTATTCATTCTCTGAAGAATTGAAGATACTCGTAAGTTACTAGTATCCAACTAAAAGTATCTTCCATACATCGTCCGCGTATTTTGACTACCGAATGAACAATGCCGAGTTTAGACTAAGGGTATGTGATAAGCATTACAAATAGACTGAAGTAGTGAATCTACATCAACTGAGGCAGTTGGGATAGATTTTACGTATGCCCTAACTTGACAATGGATGTTGTCTGGGGTAATGGTGGGATGGGGGGAAACTAGGGGAAACCAAACCAAAAAGTGACACCAGTTCACGAGGGTATTAACAATCGAATTGAACTATGTCAATAAGTCCAGACTACCTGGTTGTGGTCGTCGTAATTATTGTAACCAATGGCTAGAGTATTCGGATGACATCGCGTAGAATCGTTTACCAGGGAATATCCGCATTTACTTATTGTCTTTATTCAGAATTCAAGTCTCAAAATCTCGGACCTTTTTATTTTGTTTTTTCTATGACTGATCACGATTATTACTGATACTGTCACAACCCCTACTCTGTGATTCGTCCTGAAATAATTTCATCTCACTGTGCTAATTTGGTATTGTAACTTGAGCCGATACACACATTTATCAGATTCTACGTTGCGTAAATCTCGATCTCTAAATCGATCGTGTGTTCCTTTGAGTCATGGTGTTTGACTACAAAATCCTCACCATCTTTTCTCGGGATGAGAATTTTTTCAAAACAGTAGGTTAAATCGCTTTGATGAATGCTTTGTTTTTTTTACCTTAACTGTCGTTGCCCTTGCCTGTATACACACTCTTATTTAAGGTTTACTTTTTATTTATTCGGACACATAAACAGTGGTACAAGGGGGCATCAAATACATACGCGCCACACAATAACAATGAGGCTGTGAAAAGATAGAGAATGAATGTAAAGTGCGTATAATAAATAGAAGAACAATGAACAGAAATTAGTGTGAGAGTGTAATAATAATAATCATAATAAAAGTAAATTCAGTTCAGCTGGGAAAAACACAAAGAGAACGAATTCTTTCAGTTAAAGAAGCTGCCTTCACTTTTATGAAGAAATTTATAGCATGATCATCACTGGCTGCTATTCTGAGCCTTGTCCGATAACGTCTCAAGCCGCTGTGTTGTACCATCTGTAAGACCCAGACTAGGGAGTCGTGAATGACCAACAAAAGCCAGTCCTGTACAGCTTTCTTTCACACCACCACACCATATCATGCACTGGTCACTTCTCCGCTTTTTCCAGACGGTCGACATTCGTAAGACATGTTCAAGCCACTGAAGTATATGTTCCAAGATAGTGACACCAATTGAATTATCGTCCCTGCGTCCGAACACACGATGTCGAACCTCTACATTACTAACATGGTGTTGCCACTGGATTTCAGCAATCCTTCGGACACAACGATGTTCAAACACAGAGAAGCGTCTAATATCCTGAACTCAAAGGCCAGGTCTCACAAGCATAGAGCAAAACTGCTCTCACCGACGCGTTGTAGATCCGACCATTTACAGCCAGACTAACATCACGAAGGTGCCAAAGATGGCCCAGATTGGTATAATCCGATATGATTTTCACTATACGTGAATTGATCTCACCACTCACGCCACCACCAGCACTTATGCAGCTACCTAGATACGCGAACTTCTCGATCACTTCTATCCGCTCACTACCCAGGGTGAGTGCAGGATTAGAGTCCTGCAGGTCTTGTAGAAATACCTTGCACTTAGAAAGTGCAAAGCATATGCAATACCTACGGACACTGATTGCCAGCCGATTAAGTGTGGATTGCATGGCCTGGGTATTATCGCGCAGTAAGACAATATCATCCGCATACTCAAGGTCGAGAGGTCTCTCTCCAGGCAACATATCCACACCGCCATTACTTACATCCATCAGAGCTGTTTCCAGAATGTCATCGATGGCGAAGTTAAAGAGGAATGATAAAATTAGGAAACACTGTCTAACCCCCCTGCTTGAATGGAACAATGGAGTGAGGTAATTGTATGCTCTTATTCTACCTGAGGTGTTAATATTTAGTGCTTTTAGGATTTTAATAAATTTCTCAGGCATACCCTTCTTCAATAAACAATTACAGAGAACAGTCTTGTCCAACGAATCGAAGGCCGTCCTAATGTCATGAAACCTACAGTCGTTATCCTGTAATACGTATGGTTGTATTCTAACATTTAGAGGAGGGTGAAGTTAAGATCAATACATCCTCGATCAGAACTAGAACCAGCCTGCTCGTCATGAGTCAATCTTTCCCAGGTTCGGGACAATTTACGAAGTATGATGGAAGCCAATAGTTTGGACGCAATCGGAAGTAGTTTTATCCCCCGATAGTTGTTGTAGAAACGACATGAACCCTTTTCAAAGGTAGGGACACCTATAGACTAATTCCCTGATGTTGAGATACTCTCTAATTGTCAGACCTTTGTAAAAAACTCAGTAAGTTCCATAACCAGAAAGTCATCATCTTTAAAAAAGGGCCAGAGGTAAGCCATCTCGGCCCGGCGATTTGTGGTGTTCAAAGAGTTGGAGTTCCTTGCAGACTTCCTCTTCGTTTGGTGGATCAGTCGTCACCGGTCACGGAGGGCAGAACAGTCTGATCGATGTTGCCAGAGCAGCAGACCAGTTGAACTTCTCCTCGAAAAACTTTGCCTATCATCCGAGACGTCCGTAGGTAATCACGGATTGTTTCACTCACACCAGACTTCTTTCTGCCAGTGACTTGGATGAGTTGAAAGAGCTTCTGGCAGTTACCAAATGCAGCTGCTACTTCCAAATCATTAGCACGCTCCGACCATCAGGCTTATCGGTCCTTACACAAGCTTTGCACAATTTCATTATGCAACAGTCTTGGTTTATGGTCGAACTCACCATCAAACGGAGTAGACCAACGTGCCTCAATGAGTTTTAAGGAGCCTGGAGAAACCCAGTGCTTTTAAGTAAACGTTTCGCGAAGCCTCAAGCGACCTTGTCATTTTCAGGGAGTCAAGCAAATACAACCAATGTTCATTTATACTTTTCGGTGGGATGGTAGCTAGCGTTGAACATAGCTCGGTTTGATATTTAGTTGCAACAGAA